TGTTCTCCCGGCGCCTATTTATACTATAGTCGCACCGGTAGTGACGTCATGAGCTGTCGCCGGCTAACATGTTGTTGGTGTTTTATGAATGTATGCTTCAGACACAGGTCACGACGAGGCGTTCCCCATAACGACCCCTAGAGGACGCAGTGTCTCATTCCCTACTCAGGAAACCATGGTTACATAAGTAACCTGAGACGTTTTCATATTTTTAGAAATCCTAGAGGAAGCATGGGAAATCTATGGAAGCCCGTTTCCGCCCTCTGAATAAAAAATAAAAAAAGGAAACTGCGACTTTTTATCTCACAATTCTGACATTCTTTTTTCCCGAATTGTGAGATATAAACTCGCAATTGCGAGATAAAGAGTCCAATTTTGAGGGGGAAAAAGACTATGTTCTCAGAATTGTGAGTTTATATCTTACAATTCTGACTTGCAATTGCGTCTTATAAAGTCACAATTGTGAGATATAAACTTGCAATTCTTGCAATTCAGAATTGCGAGGAAAAAAGTCAGAATTGTGAGGGGAAAAAATCACAATTTTATTTTTTTATTTTTTTTTGTTCAGTGGTGGAAACGGGCTTCCATATCTGCTAAACACTTATTACAGTGTGGAAAAATGAAGTATTGGGGTTAAGCTGCACCAGGGAAATAAAATGTATTCAATGTGGAGACCCAAATAACAACAAAAAATACAGAAGTTGTGCTTCTCATCAACACTTAGCCTATGTGTGTAATTTATGAAGAATAATTTAAAAAACAGATTAGCTTTCATGTGTCATGAGCTTGATGGTTGCAGTTCAGTAAATGATGGGTCGTCATCGTGTAACAAAAGATTCTCTGATAGATTCAGTGAGTTCTTTAAATGAAAGATTCATCAGACTGATCCAAATCGTTAACTCCTAAATATGTGATTCTTTTTGTGCAATTCATTAAAACTACAGACTCTTAATAATTGTTTGCCGGTCACACTGTATAGAGCGGTGTGGGAATCACTGCTTGGATCTGCAACATATTTGTGGTGTTTCACGTCAGAAATATGTAGGAAATAGGCCTATAAGTTCTCTAATGAACTTAATGTGCTTCTTGAAATTGCTGCTTATTGCAGATGTGCTGTATATCAGTAAAAAGTGCACTCTTGGGAACTGTTTGAATGGAACTGTGTTTTTCTGTTTGAATAAATGCTGAATAAATGTTTGTGCAGAAACAGTTAATAAATTGACTGCCTGTCTACTATTCTTCAATATGTCTGTCGATAATATTCAGTTAGGAGTTTGTAGTTGGCTTGGGAAATTATTACATTGTTTTATACAATGAATTACAGCATTTGTCTGACATTACTCTTCATTCTAGTGGTAATGATCCGGAATGGATACACTTTACTGCAGGATCCAACTCATTATTACAGCCATGTTTATTCTATGTGTTGGTGAAATCAGTCACACCGGTGATGCTCCTGGTGTGCCATGAAGGTCTGTGACTATTTCTGCTGTCAGCAGGACAGGGGGGGGGTGTGGACATGTGCTCTATGCATAACAAAAATACTTCGGCCTGTTTTATCCATGTGATGAGGACAAGCAGAAAAAGCTGCGTTCAAAACATAAACCGATATAAATCACGTGTAAACTCACAGATTTTGTACAAACAAGATACTTGAGCAATCATTTGCATTCTGTCCTAATTCATGGTCTCCCATTTCATTTGCAACATACTGTAGACATGCTGTTCAAGAATGTACTGAACAAAGAGGACAAGTCTTGACATAAATTTGTAACCATCCTTTCCCCCCCTCTTTCCTCCCCTGAATTCTTCTCATTTCGGCTGTTCACACTCAGGCAATAGATGAATAAACCTTGGTGTCCTGAATGAGTGCAAGGTTATGGTGTGAAAAGGTGTCTGTTCATAAATTCTTACAATAACTTTTGTGGTCTTCAGTACACATTCAAGCATGAATAAGTCTCAGATGCAGGCAGTTTTTTTTTATGAATGTGTTGTGTATAAATTTGGGCAAGTAGGGTCTCAAAGTGTAGATCACTTTTCTCCAAGACATGGAGAAAAGTGTCAAATTTTCACTTCCATTTTATATTTTATGTTTGCATTTAAATGGAATTAAGTGTTCAAATGTTTTGTGTTGCGTTAACTTTACCAAATCAAACAAAGTAATTTTACGAAATCACCTAATTTCCCTCCGGGGATTAATACAGTATTTCTGTTTCTGATTTCTGAAAGAAAGATGTCCCTGCCCCTGCCTCTTCTGATATCATTTTGTATTTATGAATTAAGACGCCCCATTCTGATTGTACAAGCCTGAATTGTTGTATTAACATCATGTAGAATCATGTAGAATTTATCCGTTCTTGTGGTATCTTTCATTCTCCAGTGCAATGGCTCCATCGCTCTCGCAGGCCTACAGGAGGCGCTGGTGGATGGCTGTCACATCAATCATAGAAAACCTGCTCTTCTCTGCTGTATTGTTGGGTTGGGGCTCCCTTCTTATCATGCTGAAGAACGAGGGCTTCTACTCGCACCTGTGTACAGGTACATGATCAGAAGATAATCCACACTGACAGACAAAGTCTTATTCAGAGCAGTTTTATAAAACAGCAACATGCAGAGGTTTAAAGTATCTAATTCTTCCTGTGATACTATTAGAGAATGTCACAGAGACTCACAGTAATGTGAGTTTGACGGAACAGACGATTTGGCTGAGCTGTATTGAGCAGGAAGAGATTCTGAATCTGGGCTTTACGATTGGCTCGTTCATCATCAGCGCAGCCACTCTGCCACTGGGTGTCCTGATGGACAAGTTTGGACCACGTCCAATCAGATTGTTTGGCAGGTGAGAGGCATACAGCTATTAGCATTAAGCCAGAAAAGCAAAGTTCCTCAAAACTAATGTTGAATGTTGGCTTGACAAAGTTTTCAGTAAAGACTTCAACATTAGAAGGTCAGCATTAAAGCCTACTTTCAATACTGCTCATGCCCTGCAACCCACATCTTGGTCACTTCCACCAACTCTCTGTTTTTATGACTCTTGTAGTTCTTGTTTTGCATTATCCATGGCTTTGATTGCAGTAGCATCTTATGATCCAAAAGGTCAGTATTAAGCCACATTTAATGGTTTCAGGTGTTCCACAGCCAGAGCCAAAATACTATATACAGCATGTACTGTAGAAGTATAAATGAAATTCTATATACACACATACACACATACCCATAGCTAAATAATTCCACATGCCAGTAATTAGTTAATCTGTATATTTAATGCTTTATTAGCAATGAAGGCATTGTTTCTTCTTTTCGTTCACAGTGTTATCAGCTATCATATTTATTGCTGTGTCCATGAATGGGTTCGGAGGAATCTGTCTAACCTTCACTTCACTAACAGTAAGACACAGTTGCAAAGTTGCCATTTGACCTGTTCTATATTCTGAGGTCCTATTGAAGTTTTAATGTATTTGGGTTCAGGTTAATTATTTTGTCAGTGGGTGGTGGTCATGTTGACATTTAACTCTCTATTGGGTTTAAATGTGTGTGTGTGTGTGTGTGTGTGTGTGTGTATGTATACACACTACCATTCAAAATGTTGTTGTTTTTTAATTGATTTTTATATATATATATATATATATATATATAACTATCATTTAAAATAACTGTTCCATTTGAATATATTTTGAAATACATTTTATTCCTGCAATGGCAAAGCTGAATTTTCAGCATCATTACTCCAGTCTTCAGTGTCACATGATCCTTCATTCTAAAATGCCGATTTGCCGCTCAAAAAACATTTCTTATTATTATGAATGTTGAAATAATGTTGGCATAATTTTTGTGAAAACTGCAATACACAACCATTTAAAAGTTAGGAGTTAATAAGATTTAAAAAAAATATTTATATATAATAATAATAAAAATACTTTTATAGATTTTCACAAAACTATTATTAAGCTGCATAAACTGTTCAACATTGAACACTGAAAATTCAGCTTTTGCCAGCTTTTGCCATGACAGGAAGAAATTACATTTTAAAATATATTAAAATAGAAAACAGTGATTTTAAATTATAATATATTTTACAGTATTACTGTTTTACTGTGTTTGATCAAATAAATGCAGTCTTAGTGACCATTTTTAAGTGACTTTAAAAAGTCAGTATGCATGCTTGGTAAGTATATGTGTGTGCATCTGAAAGTGGTTGGAATCATTTGTGTATGCATGTCTGTGGACATATGTAAGGTGAAATGTAAGTATGATGCCTTTTGGCTACACTTATTTTGCAAAATTGCTATTAAACTTTTTTATACTGCTCCTCATTACATTATATCAAAACATGTGATTGTGGCATTTCTTGTTGTGCATATAAGATGCCATTTTCTGCACCTGCATGAGTTACTGCTCTTGTCTGTTGCTGATCACTTCAGTGCTGCACGTTTTCCATCCCCTTGCTCTACAGTTTGGCATGCTGATCTCAGCCAATCACAGCACAGATCTGTCTTCACGCCCTCTACTCCACCAAGCCCACCGTCTCCCAACATAACATGCCTTGTCCTTGCTTTCCCTCACGTGTCCTCCTTATTTTTACACTACCTAAAATGTACCATAAATGTATTATTATGATGAATTCATATCTGGAGTATATTTTGTAATTCACTTCTTGTGGGTATTTGTGTCATCCCAAAGTTCACAACCTATTTTAATTTTACAAGTTTACTATTAAAATTTTGCCATTAAAGTAAAATTACTGAACCTAAACATAGGAGCCTGATAAAAATGCTAATTTTAGATGAAAATTTCAAACAGCACTTAGAGACGTTTGCATCTGAACTCTTCATATATAACAAGTAAAACGTGTATAGATTTTATTAATCTGGATTTGACTGGATGATAAAAAGAGGACGTTAAAGCAGAAATTGTTTGTTTCTTGGTCGTTTTGTGCTTGACTTGTAGATATGATACATTATTTGCCAGTTAGATAATTTTGTCATGAGACATGCAAACATTGCCACAATGTCCCCTTTTTAGTTTATCAACCGCACTGAACTCTTCCACCCTCCTCTTTCTGTCCTCTTGTGTCTGTGATCTTTGTGTGTTTACTGTCCAGGCTGTCAAATTTCATAGTTGCATACTGGCACACACACACACACACAGACAGACACAGACACACACACACACACACGTACGTCCTAAGTTGAACTTAGATAAAAACCTGAATCATGTTTTATATGAGCTCCACATGTACCTTAGATGAACTGCGTGTAAAATATAAACAAACTAGCAAACTACTGTTTAAATAGTTTTAGATGGATTATGGCATGTCACACTGAAGGACATGTCAGCTTCCTGAAAGTATTTCATTTCAGCAACCTATTTATATGCTAAAATGGTAGGGTTATATTTAAGAGCTGGCAATGAACTGTTTGTGTTTGCGTCGGTCTGAATAGGGACATCTATGTTTGTGTGTGTGTGTGTGTGTGTGTGTGTGTGTTTATCTGCTTGGAGTGGTAGAGCATTGTTGGCACAACAGCCAGTTTATGTATGCATGTATGTATTGAAATATAATTATTTGTTATATAATAAATATAATTACATATTAAACAACTATATTTTAATAGTAATTAATGACTAAATAAATAATAAAATAACAAATAAATTAAATTCTGCATTTATTTATTGATGTACATATCATCATCAAACTTTTGAAGTATAAGCAGTAGCAAACACCCACATGTATGGCGAAATTCTACAGGCTAGAACACAGCTGCATGAGGAGTTGTCTTCACATATTGTGTGGCTGAAAAAGGCTATTTCTAACTTCAAGCTCATAATGCTCTCTAGTGGCAATAGACAAACATTACAGTTTGAATACATACATTAGAACATTCATTTCTGATTCTTTTCTTCATGTTTGATTTTCTCAGTTGCCAAATATGTTTGGAAATGTGCGGTCTACGATTCTTTCGCTCATGATTGGCTCGTACGCCTCCTCTGCTGTCACCTTTCCAGGAGTCAAGGTAGAGATTGTTTAATTAGGCTACTAACAAGATCAAACAACTTATTTGTATTTGGACATTATGCACAAATACGTTTGTCTTGCAGTGCAGCATATGAACATGACTCTTTCTGTCTTGTCCTCTAGCTGATCTATGATGTGGGCGTCTCTTTTTCTGTTATATTCTGGGTATGGGCAGGATTTGCCTGCCTCGTCTTCCTCAACTGCTTTATTAACTGGCCGGGAGAATCTTTTCCTGGCCCTGAGGACATCAGATACATGTCAGTACATGCCAAATACATACACTATATGCCTAAAAAAAAGACCTAAACATCACACCTAATGTGATTTATTATTTTTTACATTTACGCATGTATTAACATTCAAAAGTTTGGAGTCAGTAAGTTTTTTTTTTTTTTTAAGAAATTAATACTTTTATTTAGCAAGGATGCATTCAGTTGATCAAAAGCGACAGTAAAGACTAATACATAATATTACAAAATATTTCTATTTCAAAGCTGTTCTTTTGAACTTTGCATTCATCAAAAGTCCTGGAAAAAATATCACTGTTTCCACCAAAAGATGAAGCTGCACAACTGTTTTCAATATTGATAACAATATGATGTTTTGAGCAGCAAATCAGTATATTAGAATGATTTCTGAAGGATCATGTGACACTGAAGCCTGGAGTAATGATGCTGAAAATTCAGCTTTGCCATCACAGTAATAAAATATATTTTACAATATATTAAAATAGAAAACAGTTAGTCTGAAGTCTCATAAATTGTATAATATTAATGTTGTATTTTTTTTTTTATCAAATAAATGCAGCCTCGGTGAGTGTAAGAGACTTTAAAAACATTGACCCCAACCTTTTGAACAGCGGTATCAGAATAATTCAAATATACAGCATTCACAATATATACACAAACAATTGTGTCTATTATTGTAAAACTGTACATGAATTTCTGTTACTCTTGATTTCACAGTACAATGGTGAAGTTGAGAAGTGAAGTAGTGGACCAAAAGATGACTGAAGAAAGTTCTTTCACTCAGGAGACTCCTAAAGAGCCAGATGTGACCAAACAACAACCTTCCACTGATGAAGCTCCCAGCGATGGAACAGCTGCTCAGAGCCAGGGCAAGTCTCACAAACACAGTGTCTACAAAAACACCAACGGATTGTGAATCTGATCATAAAATAATCTTTCTGTTGTCAATGTTTGGACAGCAGGATCTCCCCGCTTTTATCGTTCTGTGTGCTCACCTATTTTCCTGTGGAGCATCATCACAATGGCGATGACCCAGCTCCGTGTCATTTTTTTCATGGGTGCCATGAATAAGATGTTGGAGTTCCTTGTTACCCATGGTGACCCTAATCGTGAGCATCAGCTAAACATTTAAATCATTTGTTTTTAATGTATTACGTTAGAAAACAAAATATCAAACCAGGGAGAAATTTGAAGGACGATAGCGACCTTGACCTTGACACCAGTTGGTAAAAAATTCTAAATGTCTCGCTAAAGTTAAACTACTTCTGATAAAAAATCTAGTTTCATTTATTTGGTTTAATGTGTTTAATGGTAATGTATCAGTATAAGCATCAGGCAGTGCAATATCAGGATTATATGGCAACATTATTCAGGGAAGTGTTTGTATAGTGAATGGAATATAAAGAGAGAGAGTGTGTGTGTGTGTGTGTGTGTTATAGTGAATCTCTACTCGTCCATCTTTGGCACTCTTCAGCTGCTCTGCCTGGTCTCCTGTCCTCTGATTGGCTACATCATGGACTGGAGAATGAAGGAGTGTGAGGACGTGGTGAATTCAGCAGAGGGAGAAAAAAGGTGAAGGTGGTTGAAAGAGAAGGAGAGAAATGTTCAATTACTTTGATATGTCAGTTACATTGTTAACTGGTTCCTTTTGTTGTTTTCTTCAGTCCCTCTGAGCCTCCAAAAAGGGACAGAAAGATCCAGAAACTCACCAACGCCATCAGAGCTTTCATCCTTACGAACACTCTGCTAGTCATCTTCGGCATCATCTCTCTCATAGACAATCTACCCGTGCAGGTTAGACACAATGTCACAAATTTACTTATTTGTTCAGAAATACTGCAGAATGTTTAGTTATTTAAAGGTGCAGTAGGAGATCTTGGAAAATGCTAACTTTAGCCTGATAGCACTGAAAGCGAACATCCCACCCTCCCTGCAATCACCATCCAAAGCCACGCCCCCTGAACGCATATACACTCACAGACCAGAATACCAGAGACAACATTACAATAGGCTACATCAGTGGTTCCCAATTCCAATCCTCGCGGGAGCAGTGAACACTGTGTAGGGATCCTATCGATCGGAACACAGTTCATGCATGCTTCAGCTCACTTCTAACGAGCTGGTTATCTGAATCGCGAGGACTGGAATTGGGAACCGCTGGGCTACATCATGTGTCATTCACCGGTGAGAAAACTTTAAAAGTACTACAATACCAGGAAGGAAGATCGGGTTGTTGATGTTTGTCTGCCATTCTCGCTCTGTCAGCACAGCGTGCCTGAACGCGCTGATGACGTAACCTGTCTGCGCGAACCGGGTGCGCAGAGGTATGCTAATACATATTTGACAGGCAGGTAGGAAAGCCAATTAAAACGCTCGGACCGAACTTTTTGATTGGATGAACATTTCTTGGTCCTACGCCTTCCACAAAATATATAAATACAGACAAATACATTTAGACCACTTAACTTAATGATTGCTATCAGGATGTAAAGAGACTTTCAACCAGCATAACAAAAAATCTTTCTGAAGACAATCACCTATTGCACCTTTAATGATATTTAATTACAATTGTATTAGTTAATTTTTCATATATAAATTAGCATTTTTATATTCATATATAACTTTGTACTCACATAATTTTCATTTAATTTACATATTCATATATAACTTTGCAATCATACATAATTTATAAAATCCTATATAATTTTGCACCATATATAATTTTAATTTAATTTAATTTTTATATATAATTTTGCATATGATAGTATATAATCATATAAATAAAATAAAATTAATTTAAATTAAATTAATTTAAAAAAACTTTTTAAAAACTTTTGACCTTGCTGTGTTTATGCTGCAAAACATGAACATTTTGATGACCATTCATTATTATATGTATTTTTCTTTTTCTCCTTTCTGATCAGGTGGTGTCATTTGTTCTTCACACTGCAGTTCGAGGTTTTATTCACTCCTGCTGTGGTGGGCTCTACGCTGCTGTGTGAGTTTTACTTATCAAAATCCACATGATTTTATGTGCTGCTTAAGGATAACATTACCTGAACACAGCACACAAAGTGAAGATCAGCTTAATAATTCTAGCCAAAAAGTGAAAATGAATCATTTGAATTAGTGTTATTTTAGAATCACTGGCATACTATTATAGTTTTTGTTAATATGTGACCCTGGACCACAAAACCAGTCTTAAGTCGCTGGGGTATATTTGTAGCAATAG